GAAAACGCATCTGAGGGGGTCTATTTTAAAAAATTTCTGGGGAGGGCCCCCCAGACCCTCCCTTCGCGTGCTCGCAACTTTGGGTTACCGGTTAGACCCCCCCCCCCCCGGTACAAATCTTGTACACGCCCCTGCCGAGCAAATTGCCAACATTGAAAAACGAACCCCCCCACCAATATAAAGCTGGGGCTACGGGCCTCGTATAGCACATAGCAATTATAGTGGACTGCTTTTTTTCTGATTTTACAGCTCCAGCACAGCAAGAAGTCAACATGACTCTGGGTAGCCAATCAGGGGACAGCTGTGGAACTGTACACAACCTGGGAGCTAATCGGGGAAGCTTGATATCAACTAGCAGCTCAGCAGGCAAACCTGGCAGCGGAGGGACCCTGGCTGGACTGACTGGTCTGTTGCCTGTATCAGACAACAGAGATCACCAACACCAACAACAACTACCATGCATCATCAGGGTGAGTTCTGTTTATTCATTGGTTGCTTATGTGCTATGAGTAGCTCAGTGAACCCGCATATTAAAGGATTAATTGTGGGTGCCCATTGCTTGCAATTAATGTCATCAAAATAGCAATGCACAATGACATAATAAACATTGAGAATAAAGGTATAAAATTAGATAAGAATACAGTAGAGACGGCTCATTTAGTGATTTACCTTGTGTGGCGGAAAGTAAAACATGTGGAATAACATGTGCTGAAAAAATTCCAACATAGATGTAAGCAACAACTGCAGTGGTGCCTACTAGTTCAAACTCGGCAGTCAAATATTCCTGATTATTTACCTAGACAGACCGCACAGAAGTCCGTTAAATGGAAGTATGTTATACCTAGGGTTCACTGGAATCATAAAATGGTTTGTTATTATCAGAAGTAGATAATAGGGAATTATGAAGACCTAGATATTATCAGGAGCTAATAGCTATTATTAGATCCTGATATTATCCCTAGTTATAGTTATATCTATTCTAGAGTACAATCTGTATAACTGATAAACCCAGCGTTCACACGTAGCTAAAACCCAGTTTCGTATGTACTCAGAACAAATTTTCCTCGTTCGAATACTTAGTTCGAAATGCGTATAGCTACACTGACAGAAAAGGTGCGTTTCGTAGGTGCGTGCGGACGTGTGAACAATCGGCCGTAATTATACGCGTGTAACTGGGCAGAGCAACATGCGCAGATTATGAAATATAAGCTCACTGCTCGACTTGTCGAGCTGCTACGGCAGTGGTTCTTAAGCTTTTTGGTCCCACGACCCCATCAGACATTCTTGGTCAGTACAGTGTGAACCCCAAAACAAATATTTAAAAAAAAAACAGCCTGATCTATATAGAATTTAAATGGATTTGTTTCATTTATGACACCTTCATGACCTCCGGAAAAAAAACCCAAACAACCACCATGGGAGTCACGACCCCCAGGTTAAGATCCGCTGTTATACGGGGATACACTGTATAACTCAAGGCCACGCTTACAGGCACTTGGACTCATAGGGTCTATGTCCCCCAGGGTACTATCAGAGGGTACCCGGGGTACGGTTCGATATATCGGAACGTACCCTGCATGGTAACTATCTGATATGGTTAGGGTTAAAGTTAGGGAGTATGCGTAGGCGACTCCCTAGACTCGTTAGAGTAGGCGAGGTACGGTCCGGCATATTAGATAGTACCAGGGTACGTTCCGATATATCGAACTGTACCCAGGGTACCCTCCGATAGTACCCTGGGGGACATAGACCCTCTCAGCGGCACTTGGAACGTCTCAATAAAAAAAAAGGTAAATAAACACAAAATGTATTTACTATCAAAGTGTTAATGTTTCTCTACTCTATTTCGCCTATAATCACCTGTAAATGCCGGTCAAATGCTCATAATAACTACTACTAATAATAAATACTTGATAATATACAAATATATACAAATAATATACAAATATATATCGACATAAATATATACACACCATATATTTATGTGTCAGTGTGCAGTAGCTAGCGTGCGGTGGCCAGCGTGTGACAGTGTGTTGCAGATGAGCATTTGGACGGAATTTACAGGAAATTGTCGGCAATAATAGGTGAAAGAGAGTAGAGAAACATTAAGACTTTGTTAGTAAATAGATTTCGTATTTATTTAGCATTATATTTTATTGAAATGCTCCACAAGTGCCTGTGGCCACGCTATTCGCGTTTCGTATGGAGTACGTACGATACGCATTCGAAACTGGGTTTTGAGGTACGTGTGAACGCGGTGTAAGTGTTCTGGCAATAAAAATATAGATACTGTAATTTGAGTCTATTTATCTGAATTATATTAACGTCTACAAGGTAAACTGGATGATGCACAATGTGCAGATCCAAAATCCTGTTAGCATGATGCTTGTGTTCACTGATGTGACACAGTGACAACATTCTGGACATTTTTATACTGACACCATCGACCAATGTTATCATAGATGATCAGCCATTCACTGGTCACGGCGAATGTGATCCAAGCTAATAATTTTGGGTTTGAATACGGGTTGAATACAAGCATAAATATGAATAAAGAGCACAAGAGGTTTGCATCTGAGTAATCATTTTAAGCAGAATCAGGAAACTGATCATGCCGTGTAGAACAGATGCTGTACTGCTTTAAAAGCAGAATAGGGAAGTAATGGCTGAGAATCTGGTGAACAGGTGACGAACTGTTCGATGATTAGCAGTTCGAGGAGAATCAGGGAGTGAAGATGTGGATAGACGCTGAAGTGTCTGACGTCACATGATGCTGGAAAAAATAACTGCACAGTTCTAGTGTACAGTTGTATATTTTTCATAACCTATATTGTTCATCAACGCACAAAAATAACGTGAGATTGTCGAATTAATTAGGGAGTGTCAGGAGATACTTTAAAAACAGTCAAAATACTATTTCTAGTGAACTTTATACATAAGCTTGGTGTAATCAAACATATTGTAGGACAAAACCTCAGAGGTTGATCAACTTTAAGCAAAACCTTTGTTGAACCAGCAGATTTAGGTGGTTACTGTAAGCTCAATAAGCTTCAGGTAAAAGGTTTGTGAATACGGATATCTCATGCAATGCTGGATCCCCCCCTAGTAGTAGTAATGATAATAAATTATCTGAACATAACAAAGTACAGTGTAATGGCCCAGTCACACATACACGACGCACAGCCCGCGCACTTAAAAATTAGCAATTTTGGCCAGTGCATTGTCTTTCGCTGGATGTGCGTCAGCATTCGTTATTCGTCGAGCGCGCTGGACCAACGCTATGCATTCGTTGCCATTCGCTGTGTGCGTCGGGATTTTTGTGCATGCACAAAAATGTGCGCGGAGCTTGACGTATGAAAGTACACGCCAGAAGGACCCAGACACGCACAGAGCGCGCTCGACCAACGCCAGACACACGCGGAGCACACGCTGGGTATTCGTTGTATGTTCGTCGGCTGAGGTGTAGCGAACACCTAGCGCACACCTAGCGCACACCTAGCGCACACCTAGCGTGCTTCTAACGCATGTCCAGCGAACATGCAGCTAATATGGGCGTGCTGAACGAGTCTGTAGCGCGCCCTGCGTTCTTTTAGCGTGTTCCTAGCGTGTACGCAGCGTGTAGCCATGGGGTATATAAACGGGTCCCACCCCACCTCCTCATCATCACTTCTCCTCCGACCCTCATGGGTGATGACAGAGATTCCTGCTGATCGTGTCTAGAAGAACCACATCAGAAGATGGAGGATCCCGATAGGCTGCGACTACAATACGAAATCGCGGTTCTCCAACATCAGCAGAACCTCATGGAACTGGCACTTCACCAAGTCCATGTCATCAGGAGAAGGAGAAGGGAAGAGGTCAACGGAGGTTCTGGGTCCGACCGTGGATCGGTAGGCGACGACAGTTTGGCCTGTATGACCAGCTACTTGTTGAACTCCGTAACGAAGACCAGGCAGCTTTCAAGAACTTCATGCGGATGCCCCCCGAGATGTTCGACGAGCTGCTAACCAGAATGGGTCCGAGGATCACCAAGCAGAATACAACCTACAGAGAGGCCCTCGACCCTGGCCTGAAGCTTGCCCTCACTCTGCGGCATCTTGCCTCTGGGACCAAGTATCACTCAATGTCCTATGGGTGGAGGGTGCCTCACAACACCATATCCCTGACCTGTTCGTTCGCTGACCTGACCGTTCGCTGGCTGTGCGTTAAATGCGCGGTGCATGCGCGGTGCATGCGCGGTGCATGCGCGGACCATTCGTTACGTGCGCTAGCAACACGCTGTGCATTCGTTGGATTTTTTAACATGTGCGCCCTGTATACGCTCTGTATACGCTCTGTATACGCGCAGCGCGCTAGCAACACGCTGTGTATTCGTTGTCAACTCGCTAGCTTCTCACAAATCCTGACAAAAGTTGGGCGCACAACGACGCACTAATCTTATTTTCCATTTTTTGATTAATTTTTAATGCGCGGGCCGTGCGTCGCGTATGTGTGACTGGGCCATAAAGGAAATTGAAAAATTTATTTTTCACTCAAGGTTATGAAATCCCACTTCTATTGTGATATCATAAAATAAGTTAAAAAGAAATTCAGATCTATTAAAGACTGGCACTAGGAAGTGAGTACGTCGCATTCTTTTTCACATACCGGTGATACCGGTATATTTAAAATGTAAATAATTAAACCAGTTAAACCAGCATGCCCTGTACTGCAACGAATGTTATTTTAGGAATCCTTGTGTCTGTGCTTTTGTGTTTAGATGGGTACATGTAGGCTATTTAACGCTTACATAACTTGATACTACATAGGATGCATAACAATGTTCAAGACGGGACGGCTATTGTACGTGTCATAGCATACACTTGTTCATTTATTTTGCTAGTTATTTTACGATTGTAATTTATATATATTTCATTTAGTTTGAGTACGGATCACTGCTAACCTGTAGTATTTAGTCCTTCAGTGATGTCATGCAGTGATTCAGTCATTATTCTTCACCTTGACTATCTAGTAATGATGTCACCTTCTTTAGTCTGAGGACGGAGTGGATTTTCCACTCTTACTGTGTAACGAGGGGCTATTCGCTTGCCAACTTGATCTCCGTTTGGGTCCATAAAATGTCATTGCGAAAAAGGCGGGGTCGCGCTAAATCGAGGTTCAAGAAAATTAGCGTATAAACTGACCCTTCACAGCAACAAGTCATATAAACTCATTTAGTTACGCGATCTATAGGCGATCGTCGCTTCGACCTAAGGCCAGCTTAACTCACAAAAAAACTTTTCAGTTCCGGAAAGAGCAAAGAAAAGGTCCAATGACTCGTCGCATTATATCCGAATTCGCGTAAAATCGGGGTTCCAATGTACTATTATTATTAATACCCAAGACGTAAATCAGGTCCTCTTGAAAACGAAAGTGCCCTAATGCAGTCTGGCAAACAGAGAATTAAAGCTTCTATTCTAAATTTCAATTCCAGATTATTGACCCAAACCAGGTGTATGATACAATTAACCTTGGTCGAAGGATCGACGTTCAGTGGCCATGCGAGGAATGGAGGCAGAAAGGCGGGAAAAACTTCTGGAAGGATTGGAATCCCGAGAAGGGGATGGAAGGACAGGTAAGCTGAATTCTTAATGGTTTGATGATCGAGAAGCAGGTTGAGCATATTAAAACTAATAAAATATCTATCAATCTAGGATATGTTTAAAATAATTTTTGAAGGATTTTAGAACAAAAACGAAGCATTTATACACGATGAAAATTTGTGATAACATTATTTATACATTATGGGCAAAATTTAAAAAAAGATTTTAATCATTACATCACTCGTGTGGTACGTCCACAAAGTAATGTTGGCTGTGTTTCTATACCTCCCAGCTTGATAGTACATAATTAATTATTAGTATCACTGTTACTTATTAATAACACAGTGGCCACACGTCCGGTCATCCATTACAAAGCTCAGCACAGATTCGCAAATCCACGTCACGATTAGGCCACGCCCCCTTTCAAATCGTTGATTTTACTGGATTTACTATTGCTTCAAAAGTTACAAAAACACTTTTTTTTGATAAAATACCTAAAGGAAAGTAATATTATGGTAAAAACTTATTGTTTATTGTTTTTTACTGAAAAAATATAGTTGGGTTCACATAAGAAATAATTATGTGACCGGACGCGTAGCCCGGGAGCTGGGCGTCTGGTAACCGGACGCGTAGCCACGGCCTATGAATAAATAGCAGTTGCAACTGCATCCTACTGATGGCATCTGTTAAAGCCTAGCGCAGACTTGCGACTTTTTCATGCAAATCGGCTGCGATTCTAGAATCGCAGTTGAAATTGCTGTGAAATCGCTATGTCTGCGGGAACGTGCAACTGCTACTCGTAGCGATTCTGGTCGCTTGCAACGAGTTGCAAGAAATCAAACTTGTTTGATTTTCAGCAACTCATCGCTCCCAATCGCTCCGAAATCGCTTCGAAATCGCATGTGTGCGGGTAGACAGCGACTTGCATGCGCACACACGGTGAAGCGTGCGACTGATCGCATGCGGTTGCAGGTTGCAGCGACGAGCAACCAAAAGTCGCAAGTCTGCGCTAGACTTAAGTTCTGAATGTGCAGTCATCGTTGTGATGACTATGATGCTTACTGATTCACAGGTGGTTCATAAGTGGGTTCCCTGCCATCGCGACCCGGGCAAACGTTCACATGTCGATCGCACTATTCTCCTAGTCAGCGTCGACGAGAAGTACATTCCTGTGGCACAAGAGGGCGTTGTCGAGCTGGAGAACGTATGATTCGTCGATGGTGTGTGCAGTCGTGTGTTCCTGCACAGCAAGTTGATATTGCCAGCTGTGTGTTGCCATGCCACTATCGGGCGTTGTCGTGTTGGAGAATCTGTTTCTCCGACATTGTACGCAGTTGTACAGTAATGTGCAACTGATGAGGCATCGTTAGTTACATTCACAGGAACCAATGTAGCGAGGTTTGTTTGCATGAAGCCACCAAAATGACTGGAAAGCTAAACGCCTAGTCGCAAATATTAATGTGTATCATAGTGTCATATCGGTTTATCAAGCACAGGGGGGGGGGGGTGCTCTCGAACTGTGAGTAAAGTTACTACAGCAGTAGATTTTGTCTGTGATCACGTGGCTGCTCTTGATGACGCAGAGTGAGAGAGGTCAGCAATGTTGTATGTACAGAGAAACAAAAGACGTGCTGGTGTCAATACATCCATGTGTGTGTGTGTCTCAACCAGGCAGGTCCACAAAATATGTTGTGCTGTAACCCAGCATGAGATTTGAGAGGGTCATTAGGTAAGGCAAAAGAAATTTTATCGTAGAATTTTTAATTTGCCGGAAAAAAAACTTCCAATTGTAAAAAAAATGTTACCAAAAATATCATTGATTTATTATGGCCACCCATGGGTGCATTTGCAAATGGTATGAACTGAAAGTCCGAAAAAGTAAGTAAATGGGGAAAAAGTACATTTTTACCCCTCTGGTAAGATCACATCAGGAGTGAATAAAATAAAATCTGTTTTTATTCACTCCTGATCACGTGTATGCAGGTCACATGTATGACACCACCTAGTCAGGAGGACGTTATGCACTTAGTGCGTGGTGATGGTGGGATCTCCACGCAAAACTCTAAACCGTGTATCTTTCAAATAGGAAATAATTTACATGATGTACAGAAATTGCTCTAATCTATGTCCATGCCTATTCAAGATATTACTGTGGTACATGATTTAATGCCTTCAATGTTGGATCATTCATTCAGTGTCAAGTGCCATTGTAGTCATTGTAAACTGTAATTAGAGAACATAGAATAGACAGAATAAATTATGATATCCATATATTGTATATATATATATAGCCAAGGTATATTAGATCGTTGAGGCGACTCATTGCATGATATGCCATGTATCACCAAAGACTAATACGTTTTCGTTTTGTTTTGTTTAGTTTTAGTAAAGTTCTGTGTACGTGCAAGCTAATAAAATGAACGACGGTATAATGATAAGCTACACTGGTGCTAGGGGATAGTGTAAACTAGGCCCATTCCCTGCAAGGTGTCCACTGCTTGCTAGCATTTTGTCAAGAAAAACCTCTTGTTTTGCTTATGGTAAATAGCTACCAAATCTCTCCAAACAGTTGTGAGGACAAGATATGAGTGCGAGTCGTTTAAGGTATGCACTTACTGCGTGAGGTCTATGTTATTGCTAACATATTCTTCCGTGCACTTTAATTTTATTGCAACTTATTACAGATTTCCTTTTTAAATTACAAATTTTCTTTCAGCAGATACCATTGCTATGTCGCACTTTTCGTCCCTATTCTTTTCCCATTGAGTTCATGTGACCGTTAAACTAGAATCACTGCTAAACTTGTTGCACACTAGGCTCATTCTTAAATTATTTTAGCCGCTTTTTTTCAGCAGCTGTTAAACGTTATCCACGGTCTGTGAGTAAGTTTAATGGGCTCTTAAAGTTATCGCTGAGAGGTGTTTTTTAATATAAGTTATATTTCAATGGCTATACTACATTACCTGAAGTATTTGTCGACTGGTTGACGTTTTCCTTAATATAATTTCCATGTTGAAGCTTTCACCATTTGCCTCGAAACCAAATCTTGCCAGGTCTCGTAATCGTTTTACATGCAGCTCCCCCCACCTGATTATTCACCGTTTATAGTTTCCGCTTTTTGCCAATATTGCTTGCCCGAACGAAGCATTATAATAAGTGCTAATCAGTTACACTAACTTTATACGTTGTACAGAATGAGACTAATAGCGCTATTGCACATGTGTATCGCATTGCATTGCTGTTATTAATTTGCAGTGTGGCTTCTGGCTGGTGGCACTGGTTACTTACGCTCATAGGGTCTATGTCCCTCACGGTACTGCCGGAACGTACCCTGGTAACTATTTGATATGGTTAGGGTTAGGGTTAGGGAGTAGTCATAGGCGACTCTCTAGACTCGTTAGTGGAGTAGGCGAGGTACGGTCCGGCATATTAGATAGTACCAGGGTACGTTCCGGCAGTACCCTGGGGGACATGGACCATCTCAGCGTTACTTACACTGCCTGCCTGTGTTAGTACTGTGAAATTCACAATTTCACTTGGCTGAGAACTCTTTATTGCATATATTCGGTAGGTCGACATTTTACAGTCACAGCAATTACAAATGGGTGCTTTTATGTAGGCTACTGGTGAGGGTGGTGTAGATCGCGTCGGTGAAATATTTTGATTTGTCACTCTTACGGGTATATACGACCACGCGATCCGAGCATGAGCACTTTCCTATTACGTAGATGTGTGAACCCAACCCTATATACATGCACTTGGATGGCTGGCCTGGTCTTCATGGAGCATTGGGTTCCTGGCTTCTTTCCATCATATGTGGTACTTCATGCCAAGTGGAGTCACCACACAATAGTTCTTACCAGGATGGGGAAGGGGTCATCATTTAAGGTAGACATACTCGAGCTTGAGCCTCGCATTGCAAGATTACTTTGAGATTATTGGACCAAGGATGCTGTGTTGTTAACCCGCACACAGAAAGGCACACTAAATTGAATGTTCGGGCCATCAGTTTTGGCCCATTTCCTTGTTTGTTTTCAGATCTAACTTATATTCTCGCTAAGTTTTTGTTTCTAAATGTTGATTTCATACTCAGCTTCCGTTGCACGAAAGCCCACTGGTATGGGCATGGGCGCGCAGAACGTTTTACAGTGTGGTTTTTACTCCCAAGCCGTGCAATAACGGGAGAGGGGGGAGATATATGCGCACACGAGACGTTTTTCGCTTAAGAAGTGTTACATTCTTGAGCTGCAAGCAACAGGATCAGACGTCCTAGTAATCAATTTATCTTGTACTTTAACCGATGTCTAGTAAAGAAAGCAGCTCAAGATGGGAAAAATAGTTCAATTTTCGTATTTATTATATTGAGATATTGCATGTGTATAATCTTAACCAATTATGTCCTATCTGTAAATTGAGTTAAACGGTTAAAATGGAAATATTTTATCTGTACATGAGGATTTTGTAAAATATGAGTGAATACATTGTAAAAGCATTTCTATCATCAATCAATGCCTTGTAAATATGAATAATAAATTAAAACATTGATATAACAACTGAATTTCGTTTTTTATGTTGTTACTTTAATAAAATCGTAACTCAGTATAGGGGTAATACGGTTGTCCACACACATACTATCAAGTATCGTAACTGTGCATGCTCAGCTGTGCTTCCTCTAGCTCTGCGGCAGTTAATGAATGCGGGCTATAGTACTAGAGCTATGCTTCCTCATGCACAGGCACTTGGACCGTTTCAATAATAAAATGATGGTTAATAAATACAACTTGGCAGTACTACTACTAGACCTACCAGTACCAGTAAGTCTTTCTCTTAATGTTTGATTTGACCTAATAACTTCACTTCAATACCGTCCAATACACCGCAGCCCGCTGTTTCACATAGCGCGCACGCCATTGTACAAATACACAGTAATATAGAGCTCTATATTACTGTGTATTTATACATGCACAATGGCGTGCACGCTATGTGTTGCAGCGGTGTATTGGACGGTATTGAAGTGAAGTTATTAGGTCAAATCAGACATTAAGACTAAGAGAAAGACTATTACTGGTACTGGGAGTGGTAGGTTAGACCCCCTCAGATGCGTTTTCTGCGCGAGCCCCGGCGAGTCCAGACCCCCCCCCCTGTACACGCCCCTGTACACACACACACACACGCATTTGGTTTGTGATAAGATTACGAAAAGGGTGTCCACATGCAGTCATAAAATCAAGAAAACAAAAAGCAGAAAACCAATCATTTGGTGTTGAGGCTGATCACAAAATAAATTGGTCCGTTATTATTGTTGGTCCAGTCATATCATATATGCGTGTATATATATCATCAATTTGCAATGAAAATTACATTATTAAAACCGATGCTCAGTTACTCAGTGTCCTCTTTGCGTGAATATAGCTCGTGTTCCCAGCTTAATTCTTGAATCAGTGTCTAGTGTGAGTGATATCTCCTAAACTTTTATAAACATACTTTCTCTTGATGATTTCTGCATAAGAATTATTTAATATAAGGAAAAAAACGTGTTAAAAAAGAAACGGTACTAAATTTATCAAGACACATTTTTCTTAAGTTGTGCATGATCATTATTATGCTCTCAAATGCACTTGAATGAAAGGAAAGCTGGCAACAACAAAAAAGGGGGAAAGAAACCAATCGTTGACGCAGTGTGAGCCCCCCTGTGCGAGCGCATGTGGGTTGAGAAACAATATACTATTTGCTGAACACAACTGCTTGGACTTTGGAGTTTTTAGCTCATCTGACATAGTCAGATGCAGCTTGTAGAATCGCATGATCGTCCGTCCGTCCGTCCGTCAACAGTTGGGCACAAATCT